TCCTATGGTGTTCAGTGGACCATGGGCCCCCACCGGCTCCATAGGAAAGTGCACATGTAAACAAAGTGTGACGTCATCAGTACAGAGGCTTATTCAAGTCAGATTGTCTCTTTAATTCCGGTGGTGTATTTCACCACTTCGATACACGTCTTTCAGAAAAAAATAACCTTACCCATTTCGAACAAGACAAATGTCATTGTTCTATCATGGATATATTGTTTCATTGTTGAGACAAGCTATGAGAACTCCGAAACTGAAAAAGTGCTGATATTGTATCTAAAAAGTTAAGAAGAAGAAAAAAAGACACTGAAGCTACTCGTGTAACGCATTAAGTTTAGCAGCTGTAATTAAATATTTGTACAGTGAACTTACACCGGGTTTGCATACACGTTATCCAATAAATCTCTAGTAAATTAAAGGGCGAATACGTATAAGTTAAATTAGTGTTTTTGTAATATCAGTCGTATAATACCCCTCGTGTATCGTTCACTAATGAATGATGGATGGTGAATTTAGAAATTGATCCCGTTTGAGATGTAAAACCTGTCATAATTAGGATGTAAAAATTCTGTGCAGATGTTTGTGAATTCAACATATAAGCGAGTTCATCCAGTTGTGATTTCAAGATATGCTAATTAAAACAACCCACAAATCATCATAGTAAAGATTTGGTTGATAAAACAAGTTTAATACGATGCAGATCCCACAAAGTGTCCTGATATTTGCCGACCTCTGGAAGCTTAATCCTTGTGGTGCATTTTAAATTAATCCAAAATTACTCTCAACCGTGCAGCATATTAAGTAAGGACTTATCCCTGAATTATAGTTAATATACAAACATTTGCAAACATCAAAACACAAAACTACCAAATTATTATGAAATACCTTACTTGACGGTATAATAGTCTGAAGCATCCTGTGAAATCATGGCATCTGGTGTGCTGTCATTTTTAAGAGAAGTTGAATTTTTGTATCAATTTCGAACGATGGTCGACCGACCATCCTTGGAAAAAACCTGGCTTTTTCTTCCAAATACTGCCCCCAATTCACCACCCCAATTCACCAAATTTAGTTCACCAAATTCAGTCTACATTTTGTTTGCAATCGTTTACACATTCGTGAACAGGTGCAACCCGGCTAGCCTGGTTCCCTGACCAGACAAACCCTCGTGGCACAGGAGAGAACCAACGCACAACTCTACTCACATGCGATCCGCGGCAAGGATTCGAACCGTGGTCACCTTGGTGAGAGGCGAGCGCTTTACGCACAAGCCAACCATGCCACCCATGGTTGGCTTGTCCATCCATGAACACAAAACTTCAAACAGGCCAATGGAACAATATTTGCTATAAAATACTCCCCCCCCCCAAAAAAAAAAATCCATCCATTTCTGAACATTACAGCAAAAGCAAATGTTGCATACTGTACCTTTAATGGGACGAAAGCCCCATTACAAATTGGAGTTCAGGAGGTCAGAAATTCTCTGCTGCAGAAAAGAAATTGATACACAAAAATTAATAAGATACACTTGTTGCTTGGCACGTTTTCCCATCCAAGTTTATCTGCTTGAATGATGGAGATCAGGGCAGGGAAATTATTTTCGGGCAACTGGGATCACGATTTCAACGAGCGGATGTCATGTTGAAAAGGTTTGCAGTACATGTACACATAGAAATATGGGCGTGGTTTTCTGTAATCCCCGAGGGCAAGCTTATTGACTGACTCCCCGACCGACTCCCCGACTCCCCGACTCCCCGACTGACTAACTGACTGACTGACTTTCACATGTTATCCGGGCAGTGTAATAACGGATAGGACCCCTGTGACGCATGTTTGTTTTACATAAACTATGTGGACATTCCTTTGTTTTCGTGTAGTTTAGAAAACTTGTACAAAATAACTTTACTTTAACTGTGAAAACTCTTTAAACCCAATTTTTTTCTCTATGATTCCCTTTAGTGTTTCTCTTCATTTCTCCACGGATAAACCTACCCAAAAATGCCTCTAAACCTGTTTTCCAGAGAGGGCGAAGCGTTATGCAGACACGGCTTAGTCCACACAACGTCAACACAACCTGCATTATAATTATGGACATCTTTTGTTCACAAGTACAAGTCCACATAGTGAATGTAAGACAAACTCACCCCCGTTTGTTTATTGTTGGGGACTGAAAGTAAGAAAATAATTGGAAATTACCTTATACGACTCTTGAGCTCGATCCGTTTTCTAAAAAAAAAAAAATAAACAAAAAATAAATAAACAAAGACCAGGTTTTTGAAGTGCAGTGTAAGCAGGAAAGAGAGACATTATTCCTTCTGGAAATCAACTTTTTTCTTCACGCACAGTCCCTGCTGGGCTGTCATTTCAGGTTTTTGACGGCGGCATCCCAAGACGACTTGGTATATATGACAAGAAAGACGCTCGGTATTAAACGTCAAGTTTCTCTGTTATCTTACCCCACAGCCGTTCGCTTTGTCTGTTCGCAGCTCCGGTGGGAGTTGGTACTTCGTATCGCAGATGCGTTGTGGAATAACAACACGCTTACGGCACCAGTCTCTAGACAATCGCCCAGACTGTCCATTCATCAGATTTGGGGAATCAGTCGTCCTACCTAATTTGCACAGCCAAGTTGAACAAACAGTTTTTGACGAATTTTGAAAATATTTTTTCCTTTTACTAGAGGAAGATTTTTTTTTTTTTTTTTTTACTTACTAAAGTTAGCTGGAAAGTTTGCTGGGAAAATCGCCCGGGGAACGTAAGGAAGGGAAAGAAATGAAGTTTAAAAAGAACTGCTTCCTGTTTTGACCTGCATCTCAAATGGGATTAAAAAGTTCTCCAGGTTGTTTTTTAGGGTACAATCCGGTTACAATCTGAATGGACAAGAATTCTCCAAAGTTTTGTTTTGGGGAGAGAGAGAAGATATCTGCGTCCTTTTGTATAAACACCGGGAAATATAATAGTTGATTATCAAGCAGTCCAGAGGCAATTTTGTTACGTGAATACAGGGAAACTAAATAAAGTCGTCATTTTGACTTTCCTATAGAGAATCGATACTGTATCAGTGCATATATACTGAAATGTGTATCCTTGTGGAGACATTTCTTTGGTCTCGTGTACTAAAGTTTTCGAGTTTGAAAGTGCAGTTTCAAAATGCTCTTATTTTAACCAGAATGAATTTCCTTGGCTGAAATTCGGACTTAATATCCCTTTTCTAAAACTTTTCCATTTGCGACAAATCAACCCACCTTGGAAATTCCTAGTTTTTGAGTAAAATCCATATATCTATTGCGTGAAAACCGTGTTGAGACGTATTTATCTGTAGAAATTGCCCTGTGGAGACGTATACAATCTTTTGTTCCCTATTGTGTGCATGTCTCCAGAGGACACGGTGTACTAAATCCACTTTACCCCAACTGCAATTGGAAACTTGATACGCAACTGTAAAAAGCAAGTGACACAATTTGAAACAAAGGCTAATCAGCTACGTTGAGGCTGTACTAGCACTCGTCAAGGAGTCCACAGGGCCCGGAACACCTGAACAATCAACCGGACTCATATACTGACCCGACTGACCGGGCTGGATTGCCGTATCCCGCCTGGCCACGCGGGACATATCGCCGGATGCCCCCAAACGGCCCTATCGCTTAAACAAAGTCGCCGTAAATCACCAATTGACACTTTTGTTTTGACTGCTTCAATCAGAAAGTTTCAGGCGCTGCGCGGTGCTGTTCCGTGTGTTGGATAGAAGTGTCAGGACACTTTGTATTAATTCGAGCAGTATCGTTACTTCCAATTAATGTCTTTTGTATTAAACACACAGCCGCCCTTTTCAAATGCGATAATTCAACAGAGGGCGCTATTTTGGGCGTTACTCAGCAACAGCGCGTGCGACTTTCAGTAAACGTTAAACAAATTCAGAAGTTTTTGAGTCAAAGGTAAAATTGTGTATGTTCTTGGACTGATTTCATTGCGCAATCCAGTTTTTGTTGTGTTTCTGGCAGTGTCTAATTAACCAATTTAAACAGAAAGCAAAAACACCAGTAGATTTGGTCAGCACAATACATCTATAGGCCTACTATATGGCGAGTTTGTATACTCTACATGTACTTAGCATGTACATCTTGCAACAAAAAGGCCTTAAGCCCGAGTTGATCCGATTCAACAGATGCTTGTTCACGGCGTAGACTACTCGCGTGCAGGTCACATGACGTCGGTTGCACCACGAACTGACGTATCCCATTTTTTTGTGTTTCGAGAAAAACAGATTTAAAGTTGGTCATTATTTTGTAGGCTCATTCCATATACTCCCTGTGTAAGAATTCAAGCTGTTTCGTTTTTGCTAGTAAATTATAGATTGAACTTTTATTGTATGCAATCCGTGTGCATCTGAGTTGCTTAGTTTTTGAGAAATTCAGTTCCAAAGTTGAGTATCACAGGCACTTTGCTTCCAAGTCACACTAAACACTTTGCTCTAGGCTTCAGAATTCCAGAGAATGCCAGGGTGTTAAGAAGTTATTAGTGCGGGACCAGTGACCTAATGGGGAGGACTGAAAGCTACAAGCTTAAGCCAGCCCTCCCAACTCGTCACGTGGTGCTAAAACCACGCCCTCCACAGTTCACCAACAGCAATTCAAAACACATTCCTACTGACTGCTGCGGTAATAGTACAGTCGGGTGCCCTGCTTGTGTTATTGGTGATTCTGGCAAAATGATGTCTGGGGTCTGTACGGTAAAACGGATCAAGGCGCATGGATTCTGTTTTTAGCGGTGATGACAGACAAGCTCAGACCATACGCAATCGGAACAGCAGAAACGAAAGACCATGGCTTACTTTGCTCCTCGTACCATAGAGCTAGCTCTATGCTCGTAAGGTGAGTAGTGTAGGCCTACATGTACTTCAAAGCGATTCGGAGGCATCAAATGATTTGAAAGACTTGTCAGAGGACCAATTTGGAAATGAAGATTGATTCTGTTTCCCGTTCTTCTATCAATTTGTACAGGAGACAACTGATCAATGACGAATCAATGGCCAACTCATAGGACAAGCTGGTGAATTTGTTGTGATAGGGACAAGAAGACGACTGTAAAGAAACGACTGAATAAAAGAGGTAAGGCAATCAAAAATTTGTAGTACAATTTTAGATTGTTACTTTCACAAGGTTCCTTTCCCAGTTCTTTGAGAGGGAATGTATGTCCCAGAGGTCAGCCTAGTGACACCTTTGTACCTATCTCACTGACTGACTGACTGACTGACTGACTGCCCCTTGTGATCCGGGCAGTGCGCTCGTATAGGCATCCCGGTAATGTTAATGAATGGGCTAAGTCCGGGCGATTGTATAGACTAGATGTATACGAAAGAACTTTCGTAAGGACATTCTTGTATCAATTGAATAGAATTTCCTGCGCTTTGTGGCCAGCTTTATTAGACCTGTCCTACCCAAATGGATGGGGTAAATTGGCCCAATAATTTTGTAGATCAGGTGCTATAAAGACTATCAGAAAATAGCCACTCCTAAAGAATTTTGTGCTCTCGTGGAACTCGAATACCACGGACAGTAGGCCGACATCTTAAATTTGGAGACGAAAACTCTGGGTGTGGTGGTCTGAATATAAAAACAAGCGCGAGTGCACAATAATTAGCTCTGGCCCGTTCCGGAATGTCTCACTTCAAATGCAAAGTTGACGCGCATGTGCATCGATCGAGACAATGAGGCGTGTTCCGAAAAACTGTCGCCAAGAGTGCATTTACTGACGACGGCATTGCATTTGGTCAATTTGTGGTCAATTGGTAATTATATTTTGGGGAAACGTTTTTGGTCAATTTTCCGGGGACAGACCTACCGACCGACCGACCGACCGACCGACCGACCACCAAGTGACATGTTGAAGCTCCTGCAAGAGCTTAAAAAGATTCATCTAGGTGCCTAAAATATCTTGTCACCATACCGTCTGCGGCAGTTGACATGATTGAGTTGGCATTTCTTAAATGGGACCCGAACACTTAAAGTACCAGCCCCATGTCGGCCACTGAGAGATATATAAAGTCCGTCTTTTGTCGGGCAGTGATCAGTTCACGCACGGTCGAGTCTCTCCTTTGGACGGCCACGGGAAACCCTTTTTTATGCAGCTCGTTGTTATTCTCTCGGAGTAAGGGGGAAAACAGATCTAAGTACTGCAGGTGTCTGAGCAAAACCAACACGAAATGTATGCGTCCAATGACACGGAAAAACTCATCCAGGGATTAGGGAGAACTCTCTCTGGGAGCCTTTTGTATGGTTGGTACCCGAGGATTAAGAATGCTCTCTCCGGTTGTGAAAGGGATGGCCAGTTCTTTATAGCCCCGGGCGTTACCATTAAGACCCAAGAGACACCCACTTTATAAGCATTAAAGGGAATATACGACAAAGTTTTTACGTAAAAGCTTACTAGGATGTTGGTAAATGACAGTCTAAAGCATCCTGTAAAATTCTGGCACCTGGTGTGAAGTCATTTTCAAGAAAATTGTATTTTTGTATACATTTCCAACGGTGGTCGGCCGACCACCGTTGGAAAACCTAACTATTTTTCAACTACTGCTCCAAATTTACCATATTTTTTTTTCAGTCCAAATTTTTTTTGCTTTTGGTTACACGTTCATGAACGGGTGCAGGCCAGCTAAACTGGTTCCCTTTAATAGCTAACAAATTTCCGGCATCTATAAATTGATCCATTTTATCTTTAGTGGAGTAAGGATACAAAACAACTTGAACATTTTAGTTTTTCTTGGTTTTCATGTATTTTTGAACACAAAACTTCAAACATGTCAGTGTAACAATATTTAATCTATTATACTCACCTGTCAAATAGTTCATTTCTGAAATTACAGCGAAAGCCAATGATGTACATTCCCTTTAACCTCGTGAGGTTTGATGTGCGTATTCAAGAAGGGAGAATGCAAATGTGTAAGAGCGAAATACAGGAAGCGAAAAATGCCGATCACACATGAGAGCAACAAGAGCAAATACAACCACGAAACGTCTTAATATTTCCAGTGTTAAACTTTGAGGTTTTGTGGTAAATTTGGACAGGAATTAAATCAACTAAAGACTTTAATTGTCTTCAGATTTCCCCAGAGTCCCTGCGCTTTTGACGCACTATATTGTCAGTACCAAAGATAGCATGGTAAAGTTTACCGTTTAGCGACACTTTACTTGGACATTGTACCAGCAGCACGCACACGGCTAGTCTCGTGCCCACGAGGCACATTGGGCAAATAATTGAACGCATATTCAGGCGGGTAGCCCTGGGACTGTTCTGACGCTGAGCTGAATGGGTAAACGTCAATGGTGTGACAAATGTAAATCGCGTTGGTTATACCATGGTTGTCAGCGCGAAGGACTATCCGCGTACTTGGAAGCTAATGCATCCTCGCGAAATCTCGAGAGACGCTATCCAAAGTCTCGTCATGTCCTCGTGCGTATATGTACAGGGGAGCGTGGTTGGAAGACCTGATCAGTTTTGGGGTTAACGTACGCTCACGATTCAGCCTCGATAAACCTGACCTTTCAAAAGTTATAAAACAGACGTTGCTTCCAATGCGAAACACGAATTCCCTGCTTAATTGAATTGATGGAAATCAATAATTTAGCAATTTCACACAGAAGCTGCGAACTTATTAAACACCTTTCCCTTCTTGTTGGTAGTTTATTTTTTAATAACAATAGCGAGAAACTGTCAGGCCGTCCGTGGAAATTCGCAAGGCATAGGAGACCATTTGACTCTAGAGGGCGTTGTTTATGATACAGATTTGTCTGGAAACATAATTGCTGCGTTTGAGGCTGTTTCCGGCATTTCTAATAATACTTTTAAAGGGCCATTACCATCCTGGAATGCGTCCAATTGGGCTACTAAACGCGTTTCAAACGAACTTATATTAATTGGAAAGAGCATTTAAAAGTAGTATATAAACGACCACACAACCATCCTTTAAAAACTGGGCGTTTTGTGTTGTTGTTCCGAGAACCATGCGAGAACGAATTTCGGAGGTCACATTTTGACGCATAAAAATCGAGCTGTTCAGTGCTAGTTGTACATCCAGCTTCACAGTCGCATTCTGATGCAGAAGTGTAAGAAACATTTTTTTTTGCATTGGTGCTGTGTGTATTATGTAAAACACACACAACGTGTACAGTTCATCGAATTTATAGAGACGGTTTCAAATACGTATGCTTATGCCACAAATTGTTCGCCGCGTCCGTTGTAAACAACCGGGATTTTTCGTCGTTTCTCGGGAACGGTATTAAAGACATTAGGTTAGTTTCCTTTCAACAAGACCTTTGAAATATGATAAGTAAACAATCCAAAACATGATATTTTCGGGGATTATAGGCCGTTATGCCCATTTCAGCATCAGCCACATTAAAGTCTTGACTTAAGTCCTTTCTGGATTGCTCTCCTTGTTTTACTTTTCGTTGCCCCTTTTTGGTGGTGGGGGGGGGGGAGGGGGAGTTGAGCCATATTCTCCCCGTCGATGTGGCACTTGACCGCGTAAGCTCGTCACTCGGATTGAGATATCGGACACGGAGTGTCAATAATCAACAAAAGACCAGGGTACAAATCCTCTTCTGATCCCGACCCAGAAGCCTCGAGAGTGTCTTGACCCACAACAACACAGCGATATACCGCTCAAACTTCACCTTCCGTCTCTCGTGGTAAAAGAACACCATTGCAAAGCGCTCTAGCAACGTACGAAAATCGATTTAGCGACGAAGATTTGCCCCGCTGATGATGTTTTGCGACGACCGCCTCAAAGCCCTCGTATCACCTTTCGCGCCTTCTTCTCATTTATACAGTGAACGGAGTAATAATATTTCCTTCTCGTCACCATCAACCGTTAAGCCCTATCACACTGTGTCTTGGACTTCGCGCCATTTGAACATCTTCGCAGACACTGTTTGGCGTTCGGATTTTTGTTTGAACTTCGAACGGGCAGGGCACTATTTGCAGTTTACGTCTTGAGGGTGGCTGGGCAGACGTGAGAAAATCGAACCTATAATTACATTAACCGTCTCGCTGGTAAATATGAGCTTCAGGATGTAGTTGCAGTCAAAAGCCACGTCTGATACGGACATGAAAGCGCGTTGACACGCTTTTGCGGTATGGCTTACAACAAAATCTAATTCTCTTGAATTTTGTTATTTGGAGTAACCATGCAACGCAGCAATATTTGGAATTTTCTTTTGTAAGCGTATTTTCCTCCAATTATGTATGATGTCAAATTGAGATGCAATCCTGCGTAGTTTGTATGGGAAACAAAATATAATATATCAGGTTTCATGGTATCCCTATATTAATATTTGCAATTTCGGATGTAAAAAAGATCGCTGGTACCCGATGACATGGGCCAAATTTCCTGAAGCTGCTTAGCAGAATATATTGCTGGGCAACTCCATGTGCACAGCAACCATAGACCGGACACCAGTCACATTCACACATGATTTGCTATTCTTTTGACAGTTTTCTGTTCAAATTGTGAACCCAATTAATATGTGCTCATTGAAAACATCTGTGAGAAAAGTTTACTCATTGGTTTTCTGCCAAGTACTGAAACAACAAGGAATCACCACAGAAAAGAAAATATACGACATCAAAATATCTTCAATTCTAGCAAATGTTGGTGCTGAAATAACATTGAGGTTTCTGCCTGAACTGACATTACACTTTTGCTCATGAATATGGATATCGTATAAGCACAAAGGCCTAAAATAGGCACCAAAATACCCTTAAAAATGGCAAAACAGCAATTGAAAATTGGACACAAAGGTGCATTTGCAAAAATTGCATTAAAAAAACTACATGCCATGGGCCTTTTGACAAAGACAGGTTGACAGCCGACATGCCACGAAATGTACATTGGTTCTGTTTGGTTCCCAGTCATCGGCTGAAATTGGCTTAGTAATATTATTCTGCTATGGGATCGGGCCCTGATAAGCTCCACGCTATCGGCCGAGATCCTCTCAATGGCACCTGTACCCGTACACCCTCCCGTGTAAGCGAGCCCATCTCACGTGTGGCCCCGCTGGCCCCGTTAGATCCACCGCAAATCGTCTAGCATCTCAACTCGTCCGTCTTATACTATCGCGCTCAGCTCCAGTCTCTGATTGCTCCTATCCGTTAAACCCACGCTCAGGAACCCGAGCGGAAGACGATCTGTATTGGATCCCCATTACTTCAAGTCCATTCAGTGGCTCTCGATGACCAGATGGGATGTTCTTACCGCTGCTATCAATCGAAGCGACCCAGGTTCAATAACAGTGATATGTGCTCGTACTCCTTGTTCGTTTTTCTCGATAGCTTGCCCCATTTACATCAAAACAAGACTAAGCTTGCTTCACCCGAAATTCTCAGTCGGGGATAGTTTTATACCCAGTGACTCAGAGTCAGTCTGTCAGTCTGTCAGTTGGTCAGTCGGTTAGTCAGAGGATAATAGGCTGGCCCTTAAGATCCAGGAAGTATCCTCCACTCTTTTCGATTGACGCAAGGTTAGGGCATTCTTTGGTATCATAATAGACACATTTCAAATTAGCATTGAAAGGCTAAGCTTTCAATTACTAGCTCTCACAGTGCTTAGCCATTGTATGAACAGGGGACATAAAAGACACTGGGCACTGAGGCCCTCAGCTTTGTGCCAATTTGAGGTTCATACAGGGATTAATTTCCAATTATAGAATTATACGATGCCTCACAACAGCCACTAACTGTGGTGATTTACACTTCACTGAAACCCTACAGTGGTAAACCTAGACTTTGTATTCCCCTTTGTGGGCGAACTCTTCCAAATGTTTGTGTGGCAATTTCGTGATATGTAACTTGTACCGTAGTCGTTATGAGCCTCGGTAAGGAAATAGAAATCATTCCTGTCGACATTTTTCGAGATGAGGTGACTGTTCGAAGATGCGTTTGTTCTAAGCACGTGTATTTCTCAGTTCAATTATGGTAATGGATGCACCGGGACTCCGTATCTTAGTTTGTATTTAGGTAAATTTGAATAGGCATGATCGCTCAAAGCCTCCGTATTCTCGTTAAGTGGCATTTCAGGTAAATGTGGACTGTCATGGCCATTTTGAGGTCCATGCCTCCATATTTATTTTAATTTTAGCATTTCGGGTATTTGTTTTAATGTCGTGGTTGATGTGAGCTTCCGTATTTGTTTTAGCCACAATTTCAGGCAATTTTTTTGATCGTCATGGTCATTCTAACTTTCTGGGCCTCCGTATTATCAGACGGTACAGGATGTAGTTTAGCGTGTTGTCATGTTTTATTATCGCCTAGGCGTCCCGCTGCTGATCACGGCTGTAGAGATTGCGTGCGTCTGCTCAACCGTACGTCTCGCCTCATCAACCACTGATGCATTTCAAGTCACATTTAGATGAACAGTAAATTTAGTCTCACTGGTAGATTAATACATCAAAGGCATGGGCTCACATCCTGAGGTTTATTAATTTGGAGATATTTGCTAAGGGAAAGATTATGTTGTTACCTAAGATCGCATGGATAAATTGAGATTGCGCTTCTCAATGAGATGGATGAGACTCAATGATGTTATGGTATTTTTTTTATAAGAAAGATTTGTATAATAGTACCCCAGTTTAAAGAAAGCTTTTAGAGCTGAAAGAGCTGTAAAATCTTACCAAAATTGGTTTGGAGATTTTAAATTTTAACACGAGCAAAAATTTAATAAAATAGTATAAAGTTAACTATAATAAAATGCAGCAAAATAAGTTAAATAAAGTAAAATACAATAAAGAATAAAAAAAATGAGTCTCATTTCTGGGCTATCGATTCATAGATGAATCCCTGCTATTCTTGATTAACCAGCCATGTTAAGCAACAAATTATCCAAAACGAGATTGGTTGATTCCAGGAATCAGTAAGACTTAATGAAGTCTTGTAAAGAACTTAATGAATAGAACAAACACTGTTCTTGATGAAGAGGAGCTTTTGTGAGATAATGACAAGGGGTTGCTACACGCATGCGCGAAGGGGTGAAGTTCACCAGGGATGCAGTGAGCATAATAGGAAAGAATAACTAGAGTACTGCAGATAGGTGATGTGATTTTGCCTTTGACGATACAAGCATTGAATTTGGCACACAGTCAGAGTATGTCTTGAGAAAGATATTTGGATTAGGACCATCGCAGATATGTCCTTCAAAAAATATAAGTAGATTAACAAACAACTGCAGTCATTTTGAAATTGTTTTAAATTGTTTGTTTGTGTACCAATATTTTTTTTTCAAATGACAAATCTGCGATGGCCCTATAGCCATATATCTTTCTTACGACATTCTCTGACTGTGTTCCGAATGCCATGCTTGCATTATCAACGGCACAGTTCCCCCAAACATTGCCCCTATCTGCCCCACTAATACAGTTGCTAAGCACGGTAGCATAAACACGTTGTAATCTGACACATTGTCACATGAAACCCCCACAGTGTTCTTAGCATGTTCTGTTTTTTCATCTGTTCTGAGCTTAACTTAAGCATGTGTCACTGCTCAAAAATAACGCATCTATGCGCTGGAATACGGAGGGTATCACTGCGTCGATGTGTCGTAAGCAAAGTTGCTTAGCCACACATTGGGGTCAGAAAGTCCTTTGCAAGTGGCTTCAAAATGACTCCAGTTGTCAGGATTTTCGAACTTTTCCAAATTTATAGAATGGCTAGATTAAATCGGATCCCCAACGCGGAAACATAACTCAGAATGAATTAGACATTATAACGGTAAAGTGGCAGGCAAAACGATGTTGTCACTAAAAGTAGAGCATTTCCAAACAGTAGTGACATTTTTATACCTTTACATTAGTTGAACACTCCAGATTGAAATGAACTTGCTGATATATAACAATTACACACGAGCGCGTGTAAATAGAGAGCGCAGAAAATGGATTGCCGTATACCGTTTATGTTGACAGTTATATTGCGCTGTGGCATATAGATGCATTTGTACAACTTTAAGTGCACACAGGTATATCAAATATAACAGTTAACGACACCAATGGGGCAAAATCTCCAAGTAAGTGTTACTAAAGTCCAGTTGAGTCAAGTTTAATTTGCAGCCCTCTTTTCATGTGTGTATGGAGAGTAAAAACTCCTCGTAAACCGGCAGGTCCATTAGATTAATCAATGCGAGTTCTGTCTTCGGTTCATTTTCAAATTTATGCGCGCAATAATTCATTGGAGATAAATATGGCCTTTTAAAAAAACAATAGCAAAGTCAGAAAAAAATGAACACGTTTCAAAGAATAATTAACTCAGTCATTTTTTTTTTATCGATTAATGAATGACAAGTGTACATTAACCTTTGGATTATATTTTTTCCAGCCGTTAAAACAACCTGATAAATAATCAGGACAGTTTTACATCATAGTATCCTTGTTTACAGTTAGTCTTTCTGTCAGTTGATTCAATCAAATCAGAACCATTTTCAAATACTTTTTTCTCCGTTTTTCTCGTCCTTCTGCAATCTCTAAAGTGCTCATCGATTTTAGCCAAGCTTCTTGACTGCCGATTTACATTTAACCAGAGGGAAACAAAGTAAATAAAAACAAAATTAAATCAATATTTTAAGCGCGCTAGAATTTCTGCCGAGCTATCCGTAAAAATAATGCTCATCAATTTTACCGAAGCTTGTTTGACGGCTGATTTACAATGAATTTTTGGCCTAACCAACAAAAAAAAATATGTTAAGCGCGCAAGGATTTCTGCTAAGTTAATTTGCTCAGTAGTTCTTGGGTAAGTGGGTCCCGACCATTGATCGATGGCAGGTGTGCATTCTATGTCAGTGCGCTCACCACCGCCACAACACACATTATTATTTGACCAATGCGCTGAGTCCTTTAGTGGTCGCGTTGCCTTCATTGCTCAAAAACAGTTCAGCAGTGACGGACCGGCGTCAGTTGTTTTCACGCGTGCCAGGCGAGCGACTCACTTGAGCACCGTGCCCTGGCGGCAGGCCTGGGTTGGTAATAAGACGTCTCCGCGGGGAGTAGAGAGGCTCGACCAGGCAGGACCAGTCCTAACGAGCTATAGCATTTCCATCTTCTCCATCTCACCGAAGATATCTTCCACACCAGAGGCAAGACGAGACATCGTCGGAGAAACCTCCGCGAGTCGACACCTGGCGAGCGCGACATAACATAACAGACATCCAGCTCTGTTTTTGTGTGTGTGTCAGTGTGGGAGAAATTGCTTGGCCGTGTGCCTTGGAGTTGTCGTAACCAATTTCTTCCTCGAAATTATTGTTTTCAGAGGATTGTTGATGTTGATACCAAGTTTCAGTCCCTCGACGAACGCGTGGTGTCCCTTCAAACTGCGATCATTTGACTTAAGGTGAGTTTTCCAAATTGATTTTTTTTCTTTACTCATAATTTCCCTTCCAATTCCAAAAGAGCCGACCATTGCGTACTCATATCGTATAGGTTTCGCATTGCAGGGGGATATGGGGAAAATAAAATAATCAAAACTGGCCCAAGCACGCGACGTTTATTTATTTTAGTTTGACGCGAGAATGAAGGTAAAGAAATCATGACATTTGATAACTTGGTTCGGTGCTTGGGTTCACCTCTCAATCATTAGGGACCATTAGTAATAACGTGCCTGCGGAATAGCCTAGGCATACAGATGAAAAAAAACCCAAGTTTTTTTGTGGTGATTAAACCAGACCCACATAACTTCTCAACATTTTGATGTAAGATGCGCATTGCCTAGAATTCCATAATGTATAGTACATTGCAATTGAAAGTTAACACTGCAAATGGGAATGGGGAATGTTGTGCGATGAATCAGCATTCGCATTCCCACCCGTATTTCCCATTTTGTGAACATGTTTTCCCACTTGTGTGAAAACCTGCGAAAACAGTTTCCCGCTTTTGAAAAGGTGTGAAAAATGTTTCCATACTGTGAAAAGAGGTGAAATGTTTTCCAATTTGATTTGGTACACGGTACCCTGTGGAGACATGTGTGTAATAGGCAACACAAGATTGTATACACGTCTCCGCACTGGAGCAATTTCTATAGGTGAATACGTCTCCACAGGGTACATCACGAAATAGATATATGGATTTTACTCAAAAATAGGAATTCCCAAGGTGTGTTGACTTATAGCAAATTGAAGTATTTTATATAAGAGATATTAAGTCCGAATTTCAGCCCAGGAAATTAATTGTGGTTGAAATATGAGTGTTTTGAAACTACATTTTCAAACTCAAAATTTTAGTTCACGAGAACAAAGAAATGACTCCACAAGGATACAAATCCCAGTATTTGCGTGTGAGAAGGTGTGGTATATTTTCCCAATGTGGGGAAAGTTTTCACACTTTGTGAAATGAAAATGAATTCCCAGGGAGGAGAAAAAGTGTGACTAGAATATCCCATTCCCAGGTTAACTATCAATTGCATTATACTGTACCCGTGAAAATAACTATGCGTTAAACAAGCAACCTCCCCCAGCCGTATGCGTCTCCCGTTGTCACATCCTTTCTACCATTAGAAATGGTTCGTCTACGTGATACGTATGCAGCTCGGGGAAAAAAAATCGCCATTTAAATCACCATTTAGCGTTGTTATGTTATCAAACACATCATCAGCAATACACATCTGACATCAATATATTGAGATGTGCAGATATCTGGGCCTGTTGTATTTATCACACAAAATGTCGATTTAATAGGCCACATTTTCCGAGTCATTTCGCATACATTATTATCCCGTACCCGCACAATTTATACTGGTGCCTATTTAAAAGTCATTTGAGAACCACGCGCACGTCATTCGCTCACCAGTGTAGGTCAGACAAACCACTCATGGCATTATGTCGATATAATGTGGTGTGGAATACTGACGTTTCGGGCAGTATTCAAGGGTCATCTTCACCGTATGAAGGTAACCAGCTGTTTGATAATGGTCTCGTGGGCTGTTTCCACTGCAGGTTGATCGAGGTTCTTCAATGAAAAGCTGTGGTCGTGTGAACTGGTTTCGATGGACGACATTGCCAACCTATATGTAAGTGCGACACCGTTGATATTGCAAATAGATACTCGAGTAAATCTGAAATGATCTTATTGGTTGGACCGGATTGCACTCTCTTTCAAAAAAAAAATATGTTTTTCTTAATGTTTGTATATCAAATATGTTTTGTAAAATCGGGTACATCGTGCACTATAAAATATTAGAATTGCCCAAGCAGTACTACTGAGTAAGATAAAATAAGCCCTTAACAACACCGAACCTTTTAATGTTGACTCGGACGCACTATGACAAGGTTTTTGCTTTCTTAAGGACCCATGGAAGTCCCAAGGAAAACCCTTCAGGAATCCACTTGTTGGTTTTACATCTGTTTGGCGGCGCCCACCTGAGTCTGAACGCAGGGCCCCCTAAGTGCCTGAGATTAGAATGTTATTTCCCTCACGTCAGCTTGACCACACACACTCTGAAGACGAGAGCTTACAACTCGAGTCTATGCATGTGCTTATTCGGTTCAAATCGAAGTGTTTAATGTTAGGCCCCAGGTAGTTTATGCACGCCAACTGCATAGCTAGAGAACCCAGAGAACACAATCGAGGACTAATTTTACAGCTGCACAACTTCGGTTCTTTTATAACTAATGAGGAAACTTAAACATAAACTAACTTTCTTCAAAATTACTAGGCTTTTCTTTTTTACTTGGACAATATCCAGAGGCATTATAAAGCCCTGGGCCCAATTTCACGGCGCAGCTAAGCAGAAAACTTTGCTTAGCACAAAACAGTCTGGTTTATAAAAGCAGGTTACCAGCCAAAACTCCATGTGATTTTCATGTTAAGCAAACAACAGCTGAATACTAATCACGAGCAATATGCATCACGTGGAGTTTTGGCTGGTAACCTGCTTTTATAAGCCAGACTTTTTTGTGCTAAGCAAATTTTTGTGCTTAGCAACTCCGTGGAATTGGCCCCTGGCCGTCATCAGAAGAATAGTTAAATTCTAGTCAAGGAGATTTGTTTGCTTTGGCTGAGCCGGCCTATAGTCCTCTAACCTATTTTGTACCTCAAAATAAGATTTGAAACTTTGCATGGCGGTAGTGTAAAGGGTTTGCGGTGTAAGGGTTTGCGGTTACACAATGTGGAAGAATCTCTTTTGAGAAGATGTGCGGTTCTGAAAAGATCGGTTGGTTGAGAAACAAGACGTTCCGATCAGTATGCTCTGATCGTTCTTTTCAGAACACATTATCTTCTCAAAAGGTGTCACTGCAGACCCTCACTATTTTATGCTACCTCGCTGACTGACTCATGCACTTGTGAACCGCGGGCAGTGCTATTGCATAGAATTACCTAGATAATACCCGCCGCGTGCACAGATTCACGAAGAGATTTGCAGTGAACAGCCATTCAAATGAACATTATTGTGTGGTCTCTAGGGCCATTACTTTACCAGGCTTGGCTTATCTTGTTTGACAGTCAGAAACTTGTCATAACTATATCCGTAGACTTCTCCAAGTTTATTTCAGTCCCCTTTTGCTTTTTTTCGTTTCTGTACATAAATACTCATTGAAGAGGAAGGCAAGTGTTGTATGTGGGAAGACTGGGGCAATTCTGGATCCATCGTCGCGTAACTGCGCCGCGAAATCTTTCCATCTCGATGGATTTGTTTTGACAATGTTGCTCAATTACAGCTTATCGATGTGAAATCTTCAAATCTTCCCAACTGAACGAGCTCAGCCTAGATCTAGGCCAACGTTATCCCGAGAAAATAGGGTATCACCCACTATAATGAAACCCCACGGCTCTTGCAATAAGCGAATCAAAGTGGACAAACATTGTAGCAAATTCCCTGCCAGAATTGGGTCAACCGGAGGACCCTACAGACATATTGACCCTTCAACCTCGTTCCCTCCACGCACCAACGACTGATCTGCTATACCCCCTGCAAAGTACCAAGACAGTGATTGGTCGATACGCTCGGACGAGCGTATCTAAAGAGTTCATCGACTAATCTAAAGTGCTGTGGCAGAATTTGTCTCATATCTGATCTTGAACTCCATATGTTGAGGTTATCTCTGGGGAGTGGGCAAAACACTACTCTGATGGCGAAGACGGTCATTTTAAGGGGAAGACTCTTTTCAAGGTAGACGGAATTCGAAGTACAGGTAAACAGAATTCTAAGTACAAGCAGTGCGACGCAATGCATTACATATGTAAGCAAGGACCTTTACAGCGGATTACTTTGATCCTAGCATTTTTGTGTACTGGGAAGGTCTTCTTCTTCAGTTGTAAGGATCAGAAAGAGGAGGACATGTTTACATAAACACTTCCCTCTTCGTTCCGTATTAGCTTCGAGTCTCAAGGATAAGTGTGTTTAAAATGTTAAGTTATGTGCTTGTGAGTGCATGGTTGAAGTTAGCATGTAGTATAGGGAGTGCATAACGGTCTACACCCGTAAGGGGGGGGGGGAGATCCGGGATGCATCTTTGAAACATTTCGTTGGTTGAATTTTATTCTATCACTCTGGCAATTGAAACTTGTAAGGGCGTAAATTCCAGCCATTTGTCTTAAATTAGCCAACACGTATTAAATACTCACATTTTGTCTAACGCTTGTCTTGTCATGACAGTGTAAACAAATTCAACATATCAAAACTTCTAGACGCACGTTGCTCCGTATATTGTTATGATATAAACGGCATTGACGAAATTCTTTTTTTGCAAGCGTAAAATTTCCGGAGTAATTTTTTTTTTATTATAAATTTTCCCTCAAACTCCCGAAATATAAGTCAGTGGACATTTGGAAGTAACTGGACGCTATTTATGACGCCATCTCTGAGGCTCTTCTTGGAAAAATAGGAATGGTGGTCTCCACTGGCACAAAGCTTTCGTAATCATATAGTGGCCCCGAAGGGACATCAAAGACTAAAATAATTTATTTCACGACATCCCATCATTTTTTTCACGACATCGCATTATTTTTCACGACTTCGAATTTATTTTATCGGAATTTTTTTTCACGAATCACACAATTTTTCAATGCAACGCAATTTTTTTCGCAACATAAAATTCACAGCAGGCATACATGTCATATTTTTTTTTTGTCGTGAATATTTTCCCTCAACCCTAGAGAGTCTTAAACAGTACCTTGCGCGCTCAATATATGTTTTTCAAAGCATACATTTGCTCTTGTGTAGTTTAATAGTGGATGTGCAACTAATACTTCCTCCATGGCCGTGTGAGTAAATCACTAAGACCCATCGCTCGTATATGCACGTGCTTTATAGTTCGTGCAATATAGTTCGCGTTATAGTTATATAAGCTAGGCCTATATAATATTCGTCAACCGTTGTCCAGACATCCCGACGGTTTAATTTCACTTCCGCACTATAACCCATTCATTTTGTACGTGAAATATGATCCGCCAGTGCATGCTAGGATAGGTACCATGTTGGGAAAATGAGAATATTCGCGACAACAAATTCACGACATCAATGCATGTTGTGAATTTCATGTCGCAAAATATTTTGTGATGTCGTGGAAAAATGTGTGATGTCGTAATGTTTATTGTTTGCCTTTTGCTTACTGTTTTCTTGTATGTTTGTTTGTTTGTTTGTATTCTATGTGCCTAGATCTGTCTATTTTTGCCAAATGCATGTCTTGCCTTGTGTGTTTGTCTGCTATTAGTCTGAATTGTTTGTCTTTTATTTAGTTTTTAATATGTTTGTTTTGCTAGTTTGTTAATTTCTGTGTGCTTGTGCCTGTCTGTTTGTCGTCCTTTGTTTTGTTTGTTTCTGTGTCTAATCAAACTGTACTGCTGTAGTTGGAGAGCCTCTTGACAAGCATTTTTAAATAGCGTTTTAGGCAATCCCTCAGGACAGCATATGATACAATTTAATGTTTTTTTTTTTTAATGTTTTGACTTGATAGTTTCTTGTATCATAAATTTGTGAAGTTTGTCCTTTTGATCATCTTTGTCGTGTCTTGTAATTGTTTTATGTAATTGCATTTTAAACCCGTCATATATTTATATATTTTAATTGTATTATATTTTGCCTGAGAAATTATGATAAATAAATACAATATTTTGCGATCTCTTGAAAAACAAATATTTACATCTTTGATGGCCCTTTAGGGCGACCATAGTAATTCGTTGTTGAAAAAAATGGCATTTCTGCACGACGAGCTACTCTTATCTTATTGTAACATTTATCAGTCTTGGATGTATGTAACGTCATCTCCCAGGTGACATAAACGGCTGTTGGACGTGTCTCTCGCGCTTTATTATCCGATATGCCGAGCGACATGTGTCAGGCTTCGCTAACAAGCAAAGCAGTGAAGGGCGAAGCCTGGATTATTGTTTTAAGGGCAGATCATGATCCGTGGGAGGGACTCGCGGACCAGGGAATATTTTAAAGGTAATTGACATCATGTGCAAATATTAAAAAATGAAACAGTCAAAATATAATGAAATGTCCTACTTGATTAAGGGAATGAATGTGTGCTTGGCCGGTTTTAAACACTCTGTTTCAGACCGGTTGGAGTCTGAATGCTGATAATTACCCGAGCCGATGTTGCGCAGAACGCAGCTGTGCCAGTGTAGTGTGAATTTAGGACTATGAAATACTCACTCACTGGTCGTGTTTCGCATGCCAACGTGAAGATTGTGAACGTTCAATAAAAATAAAGTGGTAAAAGGCACTGGATTTCATAGGAGTCCAAATTTCATGTTGCACTGGAAAAGTGTCTATAAAAAATGTCTATAAGTGTCTTTATCAACCGTTTGAAACCAGCCAAGCGACGGGCTCTCGACCAATAGGAATGGGTTAACTGTTTTAAGTATTTATGAATTTAAGTTAATAAAAGGATCAAACATCCTGTGAAATCATTGCGTTTGGTATGCTGTCATTTTCGAAAAAAAGAGAAATTACTATCACTTCCTCGCAATGGTTTGGACCAAACCATCGCGCTTTAACTGTCACCTACGCTTTGCGTTGAGAAAAATAATGGAGATTCATTTTTCACAGATCTCTCAAAAAGTATA